ATTTTTCATGACCCCTATAATTTTCTCACTTATAGCTTCTATGTCATCTCCATTTCTTACTTCATTTATGTCTAAACCCTCCTCCACCATTTCCACATACTCAGTCCAGTTAGCTTTCTCATATTTCCATCTCCCTTCTCTTCTCTCATTTCTTTCTACACAATTATTCATACACATTTCAATCAAAATTGGAAAATGATCACTGCACTGTTAAAAATTTCCTGTAGAAATTACAGTAACTTACTGGCAGCAGTTCGCCAGTAACTTACTGTAAATTAAACTTACAGTAAAAGTACTGTATTAATAATTACAGTACCATTTAACTTGCTGTAAATTTATTTACAGTATGTATACTGTACTTTTAGTTTTTACTGTAAAATATACAGTAATTTTATGGTCTTTTCTTCAGGACCGTATTGAAATACAAGAAAAAAAATAATTAAATTATTTTATTAAAATAAGCAATGACAACTGTGTAACTTTTAATTTTTTTAATTGTTCAATTGTAATCCTTGCAATAACATTTTAATATTTTCACAGTTTCAGTTAAGCCTCAAACAAAACATTGTTACAAACTATTATATATATTACATACTATTCTAACTATTATAGGTAAAATTCTTAAAATTTATCCTAAGCACAACATACTATGATAATAGTGAATAGTGACGATAGTGAATCTTCAAAAAGAACTCAAACTTTTGTTACACACAAGAAGCATGGACTATTTTTTTTTCAAAGCTGCCAGCTGAAATCCACAAACTCTTTAATGAAGGAGGACACATGAGGGTTCAGGCCAGAGTTTCTCCTTTGCACCATCTTCCCACTTCTTTTGCTGATCTGGAATTTTGCAGAGCACTTGCTGTTGACAGGACTGATCCTCGCAATGAACCTTAACATAAAAGAAATAATTCATTAGACCATTTCATTTTCTTTGTAAAGACTTTTTAAAGCATTAGTTCAGCCAAAATGAAAATCTTATGTTGTTAAAAACCCATAAAACTCTGATTCATTTTCAGAACACAAATGAAAATTAATATTCTCTCTTAATTTTTGTCTATCCAGGCAACCAAATTCTTTTAGCTTCAAAAGGTGCATAAAGACATTGTTAAAATAATCCATATGATTCGAGTGGTTTAAGACACCTAATTGGTTCTCAAGCATGTTTGAGATTCTGTTTACTACATTTGATGTACTCTATGTATTTGGATGATTAATGTTTGTATGTGAATAAAAGCTTTAGGATAAATTTTCTGTCTTTATGCACTTTTTGAACTGGAATATTTTGGTTGAGTGTACTTATTTATTTAAAATATCTTCATTTGTGTTCCAAAGATGAACGAAAATCTTACGTGTTTGTAACAACATGAGAGTGAGTAAATGACGACAGAAGTTTCCGTTTTGAGTGAACTATCCCTTTAACTGTATTACGATATGAAAACTTTTTTAAGGAAAATATTGTTATATATTGTTTGAATATATTATATAGTGATATACATCAGGGATGGCATGAGGGTGAGTAAGTGAATTTTTTTGCTGCGTAGAATTGAATCTCCTAAAAAATAAATAAATAACATAATTTATCATGTTCATGTTTTTTTATTGTGTTATTTGTAGCTTTGCAAAAACATTTTACAAAAGCTGTTTGTTGGCCAACAATTTCATACAAGTTCACATAAAAACGCTACCGACGTGGCCAAAACGAAGACATATACCTGTTTATGTTCGCTGTAACTGTTTTACAGTAACGTACAGTTCATATTACAGTTAAATACTGTGTAATTTACAGAAATCGCTAACAGTGTACAATTACAAATAAAGCATAGCAAGTGTCTCAAGCTTTGCAGGCAAATCTGTGAGTGTAAAACCCATTTCCAACTCCATACTTAATATAAAAACTTTAATAAAATGCTGAGCTCAACTGATCACAGGTGAAAAACCTAACGGGGAAAAGCTCACCTGTTAATACAAATCAAGAGACAGCAGTTGAACAGACCTCATAATAGTTGTTCATACTGAACACCGCAGGCTACGATGACTACAGCATGCTTTAATTGCAAAGAGGGACAAACCAAGAGATCTGAACGACTGCAACCTCAGACAATAACTACAGTTGCTAATCCTCCTCCGTCATTATGGTCATGGTTTATTACCGCGCTTAGCAAACTAATGCTGTGTTTTCCTGTGTGGATTAGCAAGATGACTTGGGGCCGAAACATGTTCCCCACTCTGAAACCTACATTTGATCCCTTTAGTCCAGAGAACCCTTTAAACCAGAAATTTATGATGAAACATGCACAAATGTCTTGTTTTGCACAACTAAAATGCTTATCTTAAAGGGGTCATATGATGTTGCTAAAAAGAACATTATTTTGTGTATTTGGTGTAATGAAATGTGTTTATGT